GGAAAAATCCCACACCAACATGGGGAGAAGCCTCTCTATAGGCATAGCTGAGAGGGTTCCCTATAGCTACCGTAAGTGATGTTTAAGCAAACAGGGCTCCTGCAGGCAGAGGCTCCAGGCTGTCAAATATATAGGCAGACCTTGCACTTCAGAAGGTACCTAGCATGACAGCTGGGAGAGCTGCTGTGAGGAACCTGGTCCAAAATGCCAGAAACAGGGTAACAGTGGCAGCCTGAGCTGGGATCCTTCACCTCCTGGATGCTCTTTTCCCAACTTGGAACCTTCTGTTCCGCACAGCCCTTCTCTCAGGGGGGAATTCTTATCCATTTGCATCTGGATGGGTTTACAGGATCAGGACATCTATAACAGTGGAAGCCATAACTGAAATCGTACTTTTGCATGCTGTCTGTGAAAGGGTGAGCTGATGTGGGAGGAGTGTTCTCTTTCATTAAGCCTTTCTAAGGCATTTAGTTGTAAAGAGATGGTGTGAAATGCAAATGTTAGACATATTTTACAAGCAAGGAAAGGATGGTGGAGACAGAGGCTAAAAAATGCTTTGGTGACCCGTACCCATGGTCATACAGAGGGCCATACAGAAAGTCAGTGGCAAGCTCGGAGCTGGGACTCAATTGTCCTGTGAAGCCGTGACAGGGGCTTTCACCGATGTTGAGAAAAAAACCTCAAGTTGCAAGCCTTACCTCAGTAGATGGCTCACTACATGGCCTTTGCCTTCAGACAGAAATACCCAGGACATCTGCAGCACCAGTATTCCACAGAATTTAGTCATGAAATGTCTCTGACAGATAGGAACATGCTGTTACAGTTGACACCTTCCTTTACCTTGAAAGCTTTAACTCATGTATGTTCCCCATGCTCACTTTTCTCCTCACAGCCTTCCCACCACCACTCCATCATGTGGCATCCAATCTTGTGGACACCACGTGCCCAGTGGTCACCCAAGCACTGTAAGCTGGTCACTGTCTACGTGCTGGTGCTCTTGGTATCACTCAGCTTTGCTTCAGGACAGAGCAGACCATTTAAACATCAGATAGACAACAGAAGTAAGTATGAGTCTCACCTGATGCAATGCGATGGACTCCCATGCGGTGATCCTGTTGTCTTTGGTGCATCGAGGGATCAGGGTTAGGCTGTCAGGCAAAGTTCAGCAGCAAATCCATGGGGGTGTTTCTATGGTCAAATGGGAGCATGGGGTCCTGTACTTCCATTTGTACTTGTAAGAGCATATACAGAACTTAATCTCCTTTCTCAGAACCCTTAATTAGCCAAGGGAAATAGCGTAAGTTTTGATAAATACCAGAGGAAACACTAATGTACAAAAGACTGACAAAGAAAACGTTAAGGCAGTATACACTGAATATTTAAACATCAGCTGTGTTCTGTAGACCTGAGGTAGTTCACAACTACTTCTATAGAGTAACAAGAAAGCAAGGGCCAGAAGCTTAAGTTCACATTACAGATATCTCCAGGGTGATCTTATAGCAGCCTTCCAGTACTTAAAGGGGGCCTACAGGAAAGCTGGAGAGGGGCTTTTTACAAGGGCGTGTAGTGATAGGACGAGGGACAAAGGATTTAAACTGAAAGAGGGCAGATTTAGATTAGATATAAGGAATAAATTTTTCACTCAGAGGGTGGTGAGGCACTGGAACAGGTTGCCAAGAGAAGTTGTAGATGCCCTGTCCCTGGAAGTGTTCAAGGCCAGGTTGGATGAGGCTTTGGGTAACCTGGTGTAGTGGAGGGTTTCCCTGCCCATGGCAGGGGGGTTGGAACTAGATGATCTTTGAGGTCCCTTCCAACTCTAGCCATTCTATGATTCTATGGTGATTCTATGATTTCTGTTTGGAACCACAAGTTATTAGAAAGTCAAAATACAAGTGGTTGAAGTGTCTCCGTTCAGATGCTGCGAGGGACTGAGGCTGGCCAGGTGAGGGACAATATCGTATGTCCCAAGGTAAAGCTAACACACAGTCCAAAAGGTTTTTGAGAAAAATCTTTATCAGGGAATCCCATCTTCCCCCAAGAAGCAAAGGCTGATAATTGTATCTGGAGTGGGAGAGATGTGGGTGTGGGGAGTAGGGCGTATGGGCTCTCAGTGGCTTTCCACTTTCAACCAGAACTAGGGATGTGAGGAGCCTCAGTTTTTAGGTACCCAGGTGAAAAAAATGAAACTACTTGGGTTTTGGTGGGCAGGAGGGTTGTTAAAACTGTGTGAAAAGACTTACAAGATGTATTTATGGAGAAATTCACAGCCAAAGTGGATTTTTTATTTTCTCTGTTCAAGCATCAGAATGCACAGGGGAAAATCCTGCTGCCTTGCCTGAGACTTTCATATGACTTGGATGATATATAATGCACTTACATTGAAATTCATTCCTGTTCCTGACATTCATCTAGCTTTGGAATGATTTGGCATTTCCTTAGGGTGGCATCATCTCCAGTGCTTTGTAGACTTACCCTATTGCTATATCTTAGTCTTCTAATGCAACTCCACACCTGCACTAAAACTAAGCTAGACTGTAAAAATAAGTCAAGTAGCAGTGTACTTCAGATACATTAAAAGAAAAAAAGTCATCCATGAAAACAACTTTCTAAGTGAAAAAGAATTAGCTTTTTAAGTTTACCTCTCACATAGGAACCCTCTCTGCAATCCAGTGGATTTGTTAGCCTGTCAAGATACCATACCTAGTGCATACAGAGAAAATGGAGGCTGGACAGTAGAACCTTCAGGACTTTAGCTAAGAGAGGACAGTTAAAAGCAGCAGTACAGGGAGCTTCTATGGTCTTTCTGGATGTGGGCTTCATTGTTACCTCTTCCAGGGTTCAGATCAGTTTTAAAGCACGCTGTGCCCTCCTGAATTGATGGGTACTGTGCCTTATGTTCGAATTGCAGGTTGCAGCCCAGATGAATGAAAATTAATTTTGCATCGGAACCCTCTTCCTTTGGGCTCCACACACAGCACATGACCCTCAAAGGCACCAGAAAGTTGTGTCTGGCTGCAGCCTTACTCCTTTTTTTTTTCCTGGGCTACAAATAAGCTGTCTAATGCCCTCAAGATGTTCAGGAAGTGCTGCCTTTAAGTACAGTGGTAGATGCTTCACTGACTGCTTTGAATTCCAGGTCCTGAGATTGATCCTTTTTGGTACATGGGCCGTGGCGTTCGCCCCATCGGTCGGTTTGGGAAGAGGCAGCTGAGAAGCAGCCATGGCAGCCTGAGGCCTGTGAGCAGGCACCTGGATTTCATCTTGAACGCTCTGTGGGAGCAAAAAGTGTCAGAAACAGAAAACAACGACTGGTGACTCCTGTTGCCTGAGGCAGTGAGCCAGTCCCTGCTCCTTGAATTGTGCCCTCCCATGCACCTCAGACCTCCAGTTCTGCTTTTGCCATGCGGCTCTTCTTTCCGCTCCTTGTGCAAGTTCCTTCAAAAGAAACACATTCAGGGTGCAGGTAAAAGACAATGCATGGACACTAGCACCGAGTGCAACCATAGCTTACAAAAATGTTTCTTTGCCTTACATCCCCACCAATCCCTTCATGCTGTTCATTTTAACGTTAGGTTTATCCAAAAACCACACAGCTTTTGTGCTAGGGTTTCAACTCTGCAGTGTCAAGTGTATCATGAAATCTTCCTGTCCCATTTCAAAGTCAATGGCTGTTGATATGTAAAAATAAAAAGCAATGGTTGGAAGAAAAAAAAAAAAGTCTCTCACTAATTTTTAATGTACCTGCATTAAATGGCATGAAATGCTGGTGCTCTGTGTGTAGTTTTTATATAGATTGTTAACATCCGCTCGCAGGAAGGTAGCCCTGAACTACTCACTGCCCCTTTATGATTTTTCCTGTACTCCTGGAGAGATATATTACTGACAAAAAGCAGCTCCTATCGAAGATAAGTATTTTCTCCCTGCTGAAGAAAAAAAAATAAATTGGCTAATTAAACTCTTCAGAGTAGTTTTGTGCCTATTGCATGTAATCATGCACCACTATCCAAAAGGGGTAATGGCCTAAACTAGCTGATTCTCTTTAAAACAATGTAGTTGTTTGTAAGCACATTATCTGATCAAGCTCAAGTCACTCTTTGAGGATCACAAGCAATGTCCCATCTAGTACATTAGTCCACATCAATAAGCCTAGGTTGAGGCTCAATACTCATGTTTGCCTTGGTAATTGACTTGTTATTTCATAAGAAGTGTTATTTACAATATGTTTAATCTTGATTAATAACTATTACCAGCAATAATACTCGAATGCAGTTTAATCTATGGCTTATATCCAAAAAAGATGAATCATTCCACAAAAGACAAATTAGAATGAATTTGCATTTCTAATTGTGCTTTGTTAGAATTACTACTGAAATCTAAAAGTGGTTGAATTAATCACTGCAGATTAATTCAGTGGTCTGTCAGCAAGGAGTGGATTTTTACTGTAACAAAAGTATGTGCTCTATTTATAATACAACATATAACACCCAAAGTGCTACTTAAAACATGCTAGTTTAAATGGATGCCCTCATGGTAGACAAAATATGCTGATAAAGAAATATTCTGATCAGTATTCACCGCATGTGACTCTGGACATACTAGACTAAGATTTTCAGCAGGGTTCTTGCTCAGTTTGTCATTTTGTAGTGATCTCAGTGAGAGTTATAGAAATTCTGCCTGAGAAATTCTGTTTGAGACGGTATTTTGCCCAACAGACTCGACAGTTTGGAGAAAATTAACCATCAAATGTTCCTAAGAGGATCCCTCTCACCCCAACCTCCATGGAAAAAGTCAGAGCTGAGTGCGTTAGCATGTGTTCCTCCCCCCAGCTAAGCACTGTAATTCTGTGGAGTCTCCTGGGTTTAACAGGGAACAGGTCACTTGTGGACAGGCAGTACCTGAGCTCTGTGCCTGGCAGCGAATTCTGTGCATTTCCTGGCTGAAGTGCATATAAATCCAAACAACAGAGGAGAACTTTTGGGTTTTTTTTATGAATCAAGTCCTTGAAAAGGCATTCTTTTCATAAATTGCTTTTACTCTTTTATAATTCTCTTAACAATAATTCTCGGTGAGTATGCAGATAACAACAACAAGGCAAGCTTAATATTCACTCAGACTTAATCAAATAGATCATATAGTCTTCATTTTACCCATTAAAATATTTTCATTTATAAAAATTAATCTAAATATAAATATTAACACTAAAGATTGAAATCACTTGATGACAAAATAATTCTTTGTGTGCTATAACATATGCTTTTATGATTTTTTAAAACAGTAAATTATATCTTTGCACATATTTGGCACAATAAACATTTGTAAAATTCAAATGCCTTATAGCAGGTGGGATTTTTTTTCTTTTTTTGTTTTGTTGGGTTTTTTTTTTGCAATGCCTACACAGTACACGGTTTTCTGTCAAAGAAGACTGAATATTTTAACATTGTAACACGATAATAGCTGCTTTTCATGCCTCTTAAGGAAAACAACCTACTCAAAACTTTGTTGGTTTAAATCACACTAACAGAACAAAAGCCAAAGAGTTATTATATTAAAATTAATCATTTCTGTATTGATATTACATACACAATATTAGTTATTATTTATTAGACGAATATGTAGACCAACCACCATTAATGACATTTCATAACACACATACCTGCATACACCAGAACCTGGGAATGTATTGTATACATACACGAGAACAGTCAAGGAAGGGAGAGGGGACTGGATAACAAAAAAATTGCTAGGCATCCTACTCTGTTTAATCTCCTTTACTGGATTGCATATATAAATAAAATCTATTTGTTTTATATATATATTTATATATTAAACAGAGTGGGCCAAATTCTGCCCTCGCATCTGTGCAAATCGATTCCAGAGAACTCGTGTTGTGTGAGAGTAAAAGAAGGCATAATCTCACCCAGAATGAACCCATCGGGTCAGATCTTGGGCAGATGGAAATTCCTCGAAGGAATGCAGCGATGCTTATGTATTTTAGGTGGGAAGATGGTTGTACTTTTTCTGACGGTTCCTTACATGCAGCTGGACATCAGAGTACTGACACGCAGGATGTCAAATGTGGGTGGCAGATTTGCGACAGGTGCTGTTCTTCCAACCGTCTCATCCAGCCATTCCTCATCTTCCCCACCAGCTCCCCCTAAAATCCAGCCTAGCCAGGAAATTTGCCATTTTGTGAATATTTACCCAACCACAGACATTTCGTGGCCTAGCGCCCCAGGGGACTGCCTTCCCACCACGTGGCAGGGACCGCACAGCGCTCTGCGAGTGGGTCTTGGCTGGGAGCGCAGGGAAAGGAGCAGCTCTCCCCCCTTCCCTGGTTCCCACTGCTCTCAGTAGAGCTCAACACTCCTTAACGCTGAGGAGGAACTTGCCAGCCCATGCCCTCCTTCATAACACGTTTCACATCAACCCAGTTGGCATTTGGGTACCTGCTCTGCACTTTTCATGGAAGGATAAGGGATTCACTGGTTTATCACCTCCTCTAACTACCTCCTTTGTATTCTTCAGAGCAAAAAGTACCACAAATTGGCCAAGGTCCTCCCTAAAAAGAGTGAGAGGCACACCTTGTAAGCAGCATCTTCCCTCCTGGGCATCTGCTCAAGGGCCTTTCTGTTTGGCTCACTTTTCGAAGGTCTCAAGAAATGAAAGAAGAAATTTTACCATTCACAATCCTAATTCAGAGTGGTCCAATGGTAAGGGGGTGCACATGGCACCAGTGATGGGCCCCAGCTACTCCACGTTGGCTACAGACTAGTAAAGGAAAAGATGTCTGAGCTACGTTTTCCCCCTCCTCAGAAAAGCCAGGAAACTGCAGAAGGGAATCTCTTGCAGGTTGCAGCCAGCCTACGACCACCAGCCAGTCAGCAGAGATCTCTTCCACAACTCTTTTACTTTCTTTTTCCAATCTTAAAGATTTGGTCAGAATTTATTCTGAACTACAGCGTGGTTGGACACCACCAAGCGGACAACGCTACCAAGAAGAACAAGACATACAAAGGCGTGGGTTTCACAGCAGCGTTCAGATATTTCCAGACGTCAGGATCATAACTCAACAGACATCTGGTCCACATGTGCTGCCACCAATTCACGGTTCAACACGACATCCATATTCCCCCTGCTGCCGAGAGCAACATATCCGGCTCTCGAGCTAGAACATTAACTCTGCCAAATGTAACCTCAGCAGAACAGAGAAGCCTCTGCACACCGCATCTCCTCCTACAAACCCTGTCAAAACTTCCACTAACTCCCTGGGAGCAGAGCTGGGTAGGCTGATTCTCTGCTCCCACCACACAGCTGAAAAGCAGCATGTGCTACGCAGAGTTGTTCTTATTGCTCGACGAGATGGATGCCTACATGAACAGTGAGAGGCCAGCACATACGGATCATAGGTCTGCTTTGTTCTTTCTTTTTGTACAAAATATCGGCCTATAATTATGATTGACTGAGTCTAGAAAAACATACTGCAGTTTAAAGACGACATACTTTAGTACAATCAATGGGGAGAAAAAGTGCATCTTAAAATGTGGAGCCTTGCTTTTGAAACTCAGCGTCCTTTCCAGAGTCTTGTGAGAACTTTAAGGCAGAGTTTCCTTTAGCAGACCACAATGCTGAAGACTTGGACAGCTTTCTCAGTGAGGTATCCAAACGAAGCCCTATAACTGAGGCATTGTGGGTTCTTGAGGGTCCGTGTTCAGCTGGACATACACAATGGCTGTTAAGTAAAGGCACTCTAGTGTACAGCCTTAGGCAGTGTGTTATTGGCAGTAAGGAATTGTAAGTTTAGTACATCACAGCAGATCCTATAGCAGGTTCCTAGAACAGAGAGGGACAGGAAAGAAGAAAATGTGAGTGAAACACAAAACAAGCTTGCTGAAGCTCCTAGGGAGCCAGGTCCTTCCTCTGCTCACCTCCCTGCCTATTTTCCACACAGCTAGTGGCAGACTACTTCGGGAGAGTCAGCTTCTTTCCTCATCCCTCTACAGCTGCTCTTGAAGGAAAGATTGACAGTTGTACAGTGAAACCCATTTGTTCAAACCCTGCAGAGCCAACGCTTGGCCTATCTACCTCTTAAATTCCACTTAAGTAACCTTTGAACATTTCTGAAAAATTAGTGAGATTCCAGGTGACTCTCACCTGCTGAGTTACGGTGTGCAGCTGCTTCTGTGAGGGTCTGGTTCAGAAGTCTGATTTGCAAGGAATCACTAATTTATTACTATTATTTTTTTAATAAGGGTAGCACATTCCTGGAAACCTGACAGCCAGAACCAGAATACATTCACACCAGCTGACATTCAGGAGCACACAGCTGCGATACTATGGTATGTAGTTAGACATCTTCCAGGACACTGGCTATATTTGTTCAGAGCTGCCTTGGTGGTCTCTATTCTTTTTCCACAAACTATTAAGAGAAATTTTGTGAAAATGCTGGAATATAGCTGCTGGTATATATACCGGTATCTCTACTGTTTTTAACAGCATTTTTAAAAACAATTGTTATGAGTTTACCATTAAGTCCTTGGCAGTGCTTTTCCTCTCTTTAGTTCTTTGTGTTAGAGATCCTTGAAGTATGAAGTTTCTGTTAAACGTTCTAACAGTGGTAACTGGAGAACCATCTATTTTTTCACCTGGGAAAAATACAAAAAGGGAGATTTTTCACGTAACAGATTGAAGCAGATGCAACAATACTGAAGAGTCACAGCTTCTAGAGAGATAAAACTTTCCCTAAGATGTATGAGGAAAGCTGGATTTAATTTAAATGAAAAACAGCAGGCTGGGATACTGCAAATTTATTAAAGTTTGAGGCCATGTCAATCAGTGGAATTACACAAGAGTAAAACAAGAGCAATGCAAGGTGAAGCAGGCCTTAGAATTGTCAGAGATAATGTGCTGTGGGCTTAAAAAAAAGAGAAAACGTGAAAGAAAAAAGCACTTTATTTTATAAAGCAAATTCACAGCTGTACCCTAACATATCAGGAAGATTGCTGAGCCACATCGTATGGCCTGAAATCAGCAGACATAGGCTTTAAGAAAGCAATGATGAGTTGTGGAGGGTGGCAACTGGCTTTTGGTGACTAACGCTGTGACTGCTTGAGCCTTGCAGCCTGACCCCAGGCATGCCCGAGCAGCAGTGTCCCTGCTGCAGAAGGATTCTCATTTCTCATTTGCTTTTCCCAGACTTCTGCTTCTGTGCCTATTAATTTGACACTGTCACAAATTCTTCGGAAAGAGAAAATGGTGATGCTTTTTAATGTGCCAAATAAGTATTTTATTGAACATAGGCACAATGGGAAATGAGGAGGGTGGACGTATTTAGGCTTTCTCTGTTCATTTTATAACTTAATCTTTCCCCTACTTTGCTGAACTGTACGTTATATTGAACCTTATAAAGACAGACTCTCTATATAGTTGACATAACAACTTAAGTGCACCTTTTATTGGTGGAGCTGGGAGTTTTCTCCTCTGCTGTCTTGATGTGTCTATTGTATGCATCTGTAAACAACACACATGTATTATTCAACTCCATTACAGAAAAAGAGGCAAGATTTCCCCAATGTATTTTTGAATACTACATAATGTTCTGGCACCTGGTTTGTTTGCTTTTGATTCCGTTTCCTTGTCAGGCGAACACATGGAGCCACGTTCAAGCCTGCAACAGTGAGAGCTGATATTCTGCTCTCAATATCTGAAATCTTCAAAGAAAATAAAAGAGAGAGACAGACAGATGGGGAGGGGGAAAAAGAAGTTTTAAAATTACTGTGGATGCCACTACTAAAATATATCCCTCCCCCAGTCAAATTCTCTTTAATTGAAAAATATAAACAGATGGCTAACTTCTTCAGCAATTCTGACACTTTCCTGCATTCTTTAGTCTTGATGTTAAAAGGGGCTTAATTTGTCAGTAAGGATGGAGTAAAAGAACAATCCAACCTACCATGTGACTCCACGGAAGAGGCATTTTACTCCTTTTAAGGAAAAAAAAGAAAGGAGGAGAGAAAACCCCCATCCTGCCATCTCCCAGTTACTTTTAGCTGCATAATCCCAAGTTCATTCAAGCTGTGATTTTCAAAGGCTACATTCAAAGAATGACTTTGTGGGACACATTTCCTAATTAAAAATTAATTTCATGCACATGCAAAGTACATCCTTTGTCACAAAATCTAAACATTTGATCTTAAATATTTATAATTTAAGTGTATATGTATGTTAAACACAAACATGCATAAATGCAGGTACACACTACATAAAAACACTCAATGGAAAACAAATTCCTAGAAAAAACAAAAGTCCAAGAAAGCAAACAACTAGGGGAAAGCAGGCTGATGTTGAGACTATTGGAAACAAATGTTGCCAAAAGGGAAAGAAGTGTCAAAAAAGTCAGACATACAACCTGATTTCTGACTCACAATGACAAGTGAAGCTGTTTACTCTGCAGAAGACCTTTGGCTGGCCTCTTTGTCATCCTCCTTGCATAGCTTACGCCTCTGTCCTCCTCATGTCTCACTCCCATTAACATATTTATCGTAAAATAATGATGACTGAAGCCAACAAAACGTCACTGCCAGTCCACCATCTAGTGCAGCACTGCACTTCTGACATCGGAGAGATGTCAGATTCTCAGATCTTTGCTCAGTCCTAAATTGAGCATGCTGCTGCTGAGTAAAATAGGCAGGTACTTCCCATGAAAGCCTGGCAGAGGCAGGTCAGAGCGCCTTGCTTGGTACCGACTGGTCAGTGAAATCACTGGCAGTGGCAGTGAACTGCCAGCAGTGATAGCCCCTTGAAGTCTGGCAGCACTACCTCGTTCAGCTTTTAGCACCAGATTGCGACGTTCTCTTCTGAGCCCAGGACTTTCTGGAGCCCACTAGAGAGACACTAGATCGCAGCCCACAAGAACAATTGCCTTTCGGCTGGGACGCGTGCGGCTAAATCCCAAGTCAGGCTTGCAAAGTGCCTGGCGCTCTGCTTGGCTCAGTGGCTGCCTTGGCCGTTCTCAGTAGAGCGGTACCGACACTGCCTTCTTTCAGAAAGGGCTTTACAATCCGCTGATTAGAGGAACTGCCTAAGACTGTATTTGCAGCCTGACCACAGCCACATGTGTGACACATTGTACCACGGGAGCTGCCTGGCAGCAAGGAGCAGGCTCAGTACTGGCACTGCAGTAACAGGCTATTGCACTCCCATGTCTGAAAAGAAGCTGGGGGAAGAAAGAAATAAATGCAGTACATCTGGCTGGGCTGAGTTACACATCTCAGTTAAGCTTTGCTTAGCTCCTGTGATGCAGTCAGCATCCTTGGATCATCACTCCACTGCGGTACAAAAGAATATCGAAAAGTAAACATGTGCGGACAAAAGGTAAGCGCTAGGCAAGGCAACATGAAATCTGCAGGTACGGAGGAGCCGCTGTCCTCACCTGAAGCTCCGCGTGATGAACCTGGGCGGCTGCTGTGGCCACCTGATCTTCCAGATCGGCCAGCTCGGATTCCTCAGTAACGCTGTTGATCTTGCGTGCGGCATCCTCCAGGTTGGTCAGCTGCCCCTCCAGCCCATACACCGTGCTGGCTGTCAAGTACACCTGCAGGGCCAAGGCAGAGAGAAGTGTCAGTCATTTGTATTTTGTGGGCATGGAGGTTGAGCAGACTGCATCTTCCACAATGTCTTTGATCTTCCCTACTTGCTAAACCACCACAGGGAGACCCACCTGGCAGAGGAAAGTCATGGGGGAATAATTTGAAAACACACATCCACAAAGAGAAGGGAGGTGTGAGGTGGCTGAACTCCAAATTTCATAGGTGCTACAATGGTGTTACAAAACAGATTTGTTCCAGGTTCACCAGATTAAAAAAGCCCAAACAAACCCAAAATGTTTGCTTTTTTATTTTTGATATTCAATTGCATAGCAAAACCCCTGAAGTCTACAAGGGGAAGCCAAAAGATCACACCTCATATAAAGCTGTGTTTATTGAAACACACTTAATGCCTTCTGGCAATCAAAACTGTGTTAAGAATAACTGTTCAGCAGATGATGGTTATTAACTTCTTATAGAGTAATTGCTCTTCCATGTGCAAAACATGTTTTCCATCCTATCCTGCTCTCATCCAGATATACAGCAGCCAAACCCTTCCTGCCTCCTAGCCCTTTGAAGTGAATCTGTGAGGGTCAATAAATTTATCTGGGCCACATAAGAGAGAATAACAGACTTTATCATTTAGAGGTCTTCCCTACAAACAAACAACTTTCAATATTTTGACCCACCTACAACACCTCTGATAACTGCAGGTAAAGATTTCATTTCCCATTCAGCTCCTCGGAGCAATAATTCATGATACACTGTGTTTCATGTGCTTCTTTTATTTCACAATGAAATAACAGATATATGGCTGGTTTATAGAAAAGGGTAATTTTCAAGCACTAGTTTTTGACATCTGTGCTTAAAATTGTGCAGATCCATGCAAAACCACTGCACCTTCTGCTTATTTACTACATAGCCAAGAGACTGTTTCCATGGGGCTGGTAACAGCACAGTGGAAATGAATATATATTCTGATTTTCCCCATTGGCAGCCTCACTCACTCTAATAGCAGTAAAGACTGGTGCTACAAAACTAGTATGAATTAAAAATGCACTGTGGCTGATTTCATGGTTCAAGGGGGAAGCACACAGGATCTGAATCAGATCCTTCAGCAAACACCTTCACTTCATAGCTGATCCCACTCAGATCACTGTATCTGCCCATAATTCCTAGAGCATGCAGTCCTTTGACATAACAGGTATTCAAATAATTTCTGGCCATGCTAGGACTTCATGGATCAAAAGTGGTGGAGAATGACAAGATTAAGTAAGTGTTTACTTTTTATTATTTTTTTATTTTATTATTGTTTAATTGCTTGCAATAGGTTTTTTTTCCTTTATATCAGTTGTTTCAAAGCATAAATGTATGTTCCTTTTTTTTATGTATGTCACTTTGCTAAGAAACAAATTCACTTCATCTTGTATGACCACAGTCTAACTGCAGGCATGAAATCTTTGAAAAAAGTACCTAGAACAAATAAGTGATCTCATTTAACATCTTTGCTGAAGTACTTGGAGACACAGGTGTGCCACAAAGTTAACATGCTGATCTAAACAGAAACAGTCCTGCTTTTGTGGGTTTTAATTATTCTTTCCATTAATTTAAATGATACATCTTTGTAGTGCGACATAACACAGCCACTTCGGATTAAAAGGTGATTTTTAAAATTTCCCTATCATGTCTAAAAGCGCAGAGAAAAAAGAAAAAGGAACACTGTGAACAGAAACATCTTTGCAAAGTTAAAGAAAAGATGCATTTAAATGCTGTGCCAAAATTCTCTGCACAGTAAGTTGTACTTTTCAAGGAAGGAAAAAACAATCTAAAGAAAGTAAGACTGATAGAAAAATATGGTAAGGGAAGGTCATCAATGTTTTCATAACCCAATCAGCCCCTACACTTGTTAAATTTTAATTTGATCGAACATTTTCCAGCTAGATCTAAACAAAAGATTTTTCTAAAGAACATTCTCTTTACCTGAACAATTGTTTTGCTTCCAAACAGCAACTGGGTACTTGTAGTCTCCACTATGTTATGGCCTTATGCATACATCCACATCCAGACTGTAGAGATGTATTTTACTACCCTTTAGGTATGCACAGCTTCCACTAAAACCCACCTGACCTTGTGCTGGTACAGGTGGCCCTACGTTCTCCCCACTGATGCAGGCACAGTCCCAAAATGTTACAGAGAGCAAAAATGAACAAAGTGTTTACATATATATACCCAGATCCTCTTCCAAAATTTGCTGCAAAGAGGATGTGCTGCATGCAGATATGCACCCAGTTGCACTGGGAAAAGTTATGGATTCCTGGATTTCTAAAGGCTCTTTACCTCTGCTATGGAGTGTGGTGGTAAAATCTTGAAACTGTGAAGTTTTGCCATCTGCCTCAAATCCTGTGTGGGGCAAAGAAAGATGTAGTGTGGGGACACAGCAAGGCTGAGCTGGATACCTTATGAAGTATGCAGGGAACTGCTTCCTCGTAAACCAGGGATATGCTGCAAGGAGGGCAACACCACAGCAAGAAATGCTCTGCCCAGTCTCTGCCCAGTGAGAAACGCTCGTTCTGAATTAATGAGTAGGGGCCATGGCACCACAGAAAATGCACCTCAGATCATTTACAATACAGTTCTCCACATCAAAAATGTGGGAGGAATTCTCTCCAAATTGCTGTCTGTGCTCCTGAGGGACATTTTAGTTTTTCTAAAGACGTGGTCCAGCCTGGACTTGGATTTTCATTCCGTGTTCACTCTCCTGACAAATGCATTCTGTGGTGTGCAGAGCTAGGATGCTTTGGTATTTCACAGGGGAGAAAATCTCCATCTCTCATACTTCTATTATTCTGGAAAACATTAATCAAACTCAACTAGAAGCTGTTGTAGGGGTGTGTTTGTCGTGTAAGAAGGAAGTGGATATGATGGTAGGTGGCACGAGGAAGGCACTCTGCTCGCCACAAGTTATACCTTTCTCCAGGCACTGGAGCAGCCATTGCTATGGGAAGCCTTCACCATTCTGCAGACAGGCATACCTGAGCTGCCACACGTCCAGCGTCTCCTGGACACACACTCCTGTCCTGCCCTCCCAGCCCCACTGGGAAGAAATGCCAAGCCTATTTTGCTTGTTTGTTTTGAGTTCCCCTCCCAGAGAGGAGCAGGAGCATGGCCGCTGTGTGGAGAGGTCCATGGCAGGGCAGGCTCAGGTGGCTCTGGTGCCCCATGACGGAGGGCAGGAGATGCCAGCAACCAGGAAAGCGTGTGGGAGTGAGGAGGAGTAGAAGCACCTTGGCTGGCACAGTGGGATGCCTGGGAAGGCTGAGCAGAGGTGAGAAGGAGAGATCTGGAGGTCAGGTTATGATCAGGAGCTGGTTGTGGAGGAGTGAAGGTGCTGTGGGGTGGGTTGGAGGGCATCCTGTTGGTGTGGGCAGGCAGAAACGTCTCAGCTGGAAAAGGTTTTGGAGCAGATGAGGTTAGGAGGGGTCAGACTTAGTTCGGGAACCTCTGAACCGAAGTAGGGCTGGGAGATATGAGCTCAGAAAAGGTGTGATAAGAGGGACCGGGGAGTTGTGGGACTGGTGGGAGCACTCTGGAGTAGGACAGGCCCAGTGGCAGGAGTGGCTGGCATCGCCATGAATTATGTCCCCCTCAGCCCCTAACCTGGGGCTGCTGTGGAAGTGCGTTTCTGTGAAGGAAACTTTATCCCCCAGGAAGAGATTCTGTCTGAGAATTTTCCAGAGGCTAAAGAAAACCAGTATCTATTCTCTTGAATTGATAAGGATGTTATAATGGGACACCCCATATTGCCCAGATTCCTACAAGATCTTTAAAAGCTCCTAATGAAGGGAAAAAAATCACATGTGGGAAGACGAGAAAATCGAAAGTTATAAGAGTACCAACTCCATTAAGTGGATGAATAAAAATGTCCAGCGAGTAGTGATTTCCCTCTATGATTCAGCATTACATTTTTCCTTGCAGAGGACAGGTACTCATGGAAAAGGACGGGTGCTTTGGACGTGGCTAAACAGAAATGTTTGTTTAATTGAGCTTCTCCAGCATGCTCTTTTTAACAGCACGGCAGGCAGCTCCAGCTCCCTGGGTGCTCTGCGCAGTATACTGCGAAGTGTGGGTGGAGGAATATCTCCTCCACTTTTTCTCTCTGTGACTAGGGACATGCTTTCCCTACCTGTCCTTACAATAATGAGGCTGTGCTGGGACTTGGAGGTATGTGTTTTTGGCAAAGCATGGCACAGTCACGCAGCCATGGAGGTTCGGAGGGCTTAAGTTAACTTTTGCGGTAGGGATTCTAAAATTAGTTGAAAAACCCAACACATCCAACTTGCCCCTTCCTCCAAATGTTTTAAAGCACACAGTAAAAAAAACCCCAACAACACAGCTGAGTACCCCTTTGAAATAAGTTTTTTTTTCTGTTCGTGTGTTTGTTCAATAAACCCAAATTAATTCTGAACATCCACTGATGCTGCCTACATGCTTTCCCTTTCCAGTTGGCACACACACGTAGGTACACTCGCTCACACACGTGACGTTTTCACATACTGACTCATGTTCTTACATTTTCTTCCAGTGTGGTGAGCTGCTCATCGAGTCTGACGGGGTCTGTCCCCAGTGGGAACGTCCCTCTTCCTCTGTCCTGAATGTCAGCTGGGAAATCACAGGGAGCAGTGGATTCTGCTATCAGTTCTTCAGTGGCATTGATGACTTTCAGGACCTCTGTAGATATGTTGCAGAGAGAGACAGCAGAGTACTTCTGTTTTGTTACAAGAGTAGACAGAGAAAACAACGGCATTAAATTAGCACACAGGGGTAAGATGTAATATCACCTTGCTAATAGCTGTAGCTTTAGCCATGCTAAAACAATATACCTGGCTAACTGCTGTGAACAGACACGAGAACAGTGTGATGAAATTGGAGTCTACTTCTCTTTTTCTCCCTCCATTTTTTACATATGCACACTGATACAGCATGCAAAATAACATAGACATGCAATTCTTCCACAACACAATTTCTACTGGAGGGATGGTCTACATCTTATTGCAAGGGGGCACACAAATATCCAGCTTTAAAACCCAAGTGAGCTAGATAAGGCTATTTTTGTAATAGTGTTTTGAACAGGTTTTAAAACACAATCTTCCTTTTTGAGTACTGGCAAATGGATGTGGAATCATCTGTCGCTATTTCCACAGGAACTATCAGGTTGCAGCTGCAAACACAGGAGAGCAATCTTCAGCAGCCCTACCAAGATGGAAGTTTACAAAGATGTTTGCTATGAATTACACGATAGCCCCAAATGTTGAGCTATAAGCACATAAACACGTGTATCTTGTTTTTTTTTTTACTTTAAATTTATCTTAAAAAAAAAAAAAATTATTAATTACATTTTATCAAATACCAAGGAAACAACAATTATAAGTAAGTCTTTTTATCAGTGTTCCTGATTTGTAAATTCTAATGAACTATCCTGACTCTGATGATTCTTACAGAGCTTTAGGCTTCAGGAAAACGCCTCTGATGGCAATAAAATGTCACTTGATGTACCCTCAAGCATCAGGCTCAACATCCAAACTATACAGCTTGGAGACTGAGCCAAAGCTTGTTGAAGCCAATACAAATACTGTCACTGAATTTATGTGCAATACTGCTAGCGTTGCTTTGCCTAAAAGAAAGTGTGGGAAGTTTAGACTGAAATTTCATTCTTTCCTCAAACCTGCAAATACTTATCCATGTGAATTAGGGGCCCACTCATCTGTGAATTTTTCCTCAAACAAAATAGCTGAGGATCAAAACTCAGGAAGCAGACGGTCTTTGGATTCTATATAGTAAATTCTATAGTACAGAAAAGTATAACTGATTAAAATGTCTGCGTGTTATGTAAACACTGTATTAACCAACACGTAAGCTGGCCTCCTAGGTAAGACAGAGGAGAAATAACATTCTTTTGCTTCACACAAACTGGTGGGTTTAACTGGAAAACCTCTTTATTTTTCTCTTTCCTGTAATTAACTGTTCATTTTTATGTTAGGTAAGACTTCTACTGAAAAAATGCTTTTTTAGCAGTGTGTGCTCAATTGTTGTGTATCAATACATTAAGGCATCTATCACTGTTATTTCTCTGAATTACAAGAAATAATTAGAAACATGAGATTAAAGAGAAGGAGAACAAAGCAAATAAAGCATGCTACAGCACACAGATTTTTAGCTTGTTAGGAGAGCCAACACAGCCCCAACAAGCAGGCCTAGGACACTCTTACTGAGAACAAATACTTGAACCCCATAAATAGCCTACTGTTTTTTCCATTTCTTTTCACAAGTGCCAATTAGGTTAAAAACAGATCAATAATTTTATAGGACAGAAAAGAAAATCAATGTTACTTTGTTTTATTATTTGCTTTTACAAGCACCTAATTCTTATTCTATTTTATGAGTAGTGAATAAAAATGGATAAGGGTCAGACACTTTTTTTCATCATCTTCACTGATGTATGTTCTCCATTTCAAGAACTATAGCCTCACTTCAGTGCTCATTATTTCTTAAATTTTTTATTTTCCTTTCTAGCTAATGATGGATTTCCAAAAAAGATTAAATTAAATTAGAAAAAGGTGTTCTTATACCAGAATATGAGAATCCATATTGGCATTTATTACAGACCGATTACTTCAAAACACGGGTTTGGGTTTTGTTTTCCTGGTAAAGTGTTCTGTGATAGAAAGCTTTATGAAATCAAGATTTTGAGCAAAATACTCTACTTCTTAATAGGCAATGGATAGGGGAAAAAAAGTTCAACGAGAAAGAAATGTGATTTTTAGCTTTTCTAGAATTTTGATGTAAGATCTTAAAATGGCAGATGCTGTTTGACTTTTAAAATCAAATATTTGCTTTCCATTAAGCATTGCACAAGGCAGCTAGACGAATGTTCTTCAAGTATGTACATCAGTGAACGTATCTCAATCCTAGCCTATACGTATCCAGACATAGGACTCACAATGTTAAAGCTTTTCTTTAAGCTTGTGAAGCATCTGCTTTTATAGTATAACAAGGATACAGCACTAGAGTTTAAACACCATAAAAAAATACATGGCAAGCAAAAGTGATTTTCCTTAGAGTATATCTGAAGAGTAGATCTCACAAACCTTAAGAGCACAAGCAATATTTCAATGTATTTGAATCTAAACTTTTTGAAAGGTTTCTGCTAAAGGATATTTAGAACTCAGCTTTGCCCTGGGCTGTGTTTTACAGAGAAGAAAGAAGATATTAACGTCTGCCCAAGGGAGACATAAAATCAAGATGTGGGAAGTTCAAGGGTTCTCAGACTGGAAAAACTGGATTCACAATTAATGGTTTTGCATATGTCTTTACCTTTTTTTTTGAGCAACTGTCAAAAGCTGTTAAAACAGCTCATGTTCCAAAATGGCCAGTTTGCGAACCTAGTGGGGTACTCTAGATACAATTATTTAATATCTGTAAGAAAAAAAAAAAAACAGAAGGGGGAAAAAAAAAAAAAAAAACAAAGAAAAAATGCCCTGGCCTTTTAGTGCCTCACAATCCCCTCCCCTCCCTGAACATCCACATCAATCTTAGGAGTTACAAGGTTCTATAAAAATCACCTAAAATTCACAGACACTTGCACACCAAGATCATCCTGGTAGGTGGACATTTCAAAGTGCTATAAAGACCTCTTGTCTGTCTAATTTATCTTGCCCTTGCAGGAAAGGTCATTGTTAACACCTATAAGTGATTCAAAGAGACAGCTATCATGCCACATCTGTCTTGTCAAGCAAGTCAAAGAACTAATATGGATGTGATAGATGCAGAAAGCAATCTATGTTACAAATATCTAGCACAGAAAAGCTAAGTACAACCATTCTTCTCGAAACACTGGGACAGATTCTAATTTCAACTGTGCTACCCTATTTCTGGATTAACATCACCCCTCCCAAATTAAATTGATGCATCTGATCCAAATTTGAATGTTTCTACTGGGTATGAGAATCTTATTTTTTACTGAGTTTGAGACTAGGAGTTTAATGGAATGAGGAAAACATACATTTATCCTTTTTATAATATAATCAATGCCCACACTCACAAATATGTTAAAGATACAGTCAAAAAGAGATGCTCAATTTCTCAGAGTTCTTTGTGGGAGAGCTTTAAAACCAATGAAATACTAAAAAAGTGTGCATATGCCAGCACATATACATGCATATGTGCATTGAATATAACAAACGGCATCTTGCAAAATTTCTTTAGTGTCATTTCTGTGTGTGGTTGGACAGACGGAAAGGATTCCTGTTTTGCTGAAGATGTTTCAGTGGTCTAAGCTAGCTCTTGCTGACTGTTAGCCATTTCCCTTCCCTTCTGCTGTCTCTTTCGTCTCCCTGCGGATGCTGCCGATATTTCCTTTGTTGTTTTACATAAGGATGCTACACTGGAAGGTGCTTTATAGCACAGTATTTGCATCCTTGCACAAAGAATGACGAGTACCGGAAAGAAAGCAGGATGATAAATCTGAAGCAACGAAGTGTCCAGTTAAGTCTCTGTATGTATCTCAGCAGCCTATGACATTTCCACATCCTTTCCTTTGCATGAACATTATTGCTTTTATCTTTAATGCTCTTAAAGTAGTTAAATTCTCTATCACTTGCACTAATTTTTTCTCTACGTTGTACTCAGCCATTAGCATTTTCTTTTTTTTTTTGTTACTACAATGTTACGTCATTGTTAGGCTCTTAATATTAAACTGGCAAGCGAGACAGTGACTTGCAATTCAATAGAGAACAGTTGACGTCAACAGTTAGATCAAGAAGTAGAGCAAGGAAAACTTTACATCACTAGCAGCCCTGGCAGTATTGACCGCATTCTTGATGGCTTGTAGTGTAATCATTTTCAGCTCCAGTCTCAAGCCATTCTACCACACTCTGAGTCGTGTGCCCATTTTGGAGTCAGTATCCTCATTTTTCTGTAGGGAGTTGAGGGGGGCTGGGGAGAAGATAAGTTTTGCTTTACTACTGGTTTATTCATCTTTTCAGAGTAACCTGTCTGAATCCGAACTTGATGAAAAAACAAAAACAAATCTCAAACTTGCCTCCCTCATCTCCTCACCCTGTGTGAATTCATTGTATAGCTTTGAGAAGGCGCTGAAAAGCCCACCAAAACTCCATCTCCTTCACAGGCAAGCAAGATCTGGGACACTGGCCAAGTCACAGTGTGGGAGGAAGAGAGCCATCAATGCCCAACCATCAATGGCAGTCGTTACCCCTGACCTTCAAACATCTTTGGCCTAAAAGTGAGCCCTAACCACTCATTATCACAAAGACTGGGAGAGAAAGCTAAGATTTGCCTTGATAATTGATGGAAGACAAGTATACTATGATAAACTATGGTATTAAGAAATTACTCTTCTGTGCAAGTTTAAGACTTCCTGCCTTGACCTTAACATCAATATCTTCATTTATAGGCACTCGTTCAGAAAAACAAAGCTAAATTATCTTACAGAGAGAGCTATTATTCTACTGACATTCTCCAAAATACGATGCAGAGAAATACAGTCTCTCTTTTAGGTTGTGCTAAGTAATTCTGAATATTAGATTTTTACTAACAAATTCAATCCATTGTCCTAATGTAGTTACAGATGTTATTCCTAATAATTCATAATGTCTTGTTTCTAGAGACAAGCTGCCTATAAGCATAAGAAAGGAGATTATTTTCCAAGAGGTGAAATCTTATGGTCTGAGTTGGAAATGGAAATATTTA